TTAAGGAACACGTCGACTACCTGAGTTGGCGAGCGCGATGGCCTTCAGCACCACGAACTCCTCCTTCTCCAGCCCCATGGTCTTGTACTTCTTCACCAGCTGCAGGATGGCGTTGTTGAGGTCGAGCAGGCCGGCCAGCTTCGACTGCTCCTCGTCCATGACGTAGTCCTCGGCGTACACCAGCTTCTCGTCCAGGCCCAGCGAGCGGAACACCACCCTGAGGATCAGGATCTCCATCCAGCCGCTCTGCAGCAGGCTCATCTGGTCGGCCAGGGACAGCGACGGGAAGCCTGCAGCGCAAAAACAGACGCTTTCATGTCACGGTTCGTCCTGCAGGGCCTGAAAAAATAAATACAGCTACTCTGGATGGAGATTTAAAAACGAATACTAGCAAGAATACTGCGACTGATTAGCTGAAAGGAGTCGACCTCTGTTACCGTACAACCCAAGTCCTGATCTGAATGGACCATCTGGAGTACGCAGGCTGCTGCTCGGAGGTTTTTTATATCGTTTAGGTGATTTTGTGACATGCAAACAGCAGAAGGAGAATAAAAAACTGAAGCAGAAACGACCGACTTCTACCTGAAGTCTACATCAGTCAGAACAGAAAATGCTCTAAAGCTGCAGATGGATTAAAAGTCCGACTTTATCTCTCGCCTCGACAAGTTTCACAAGTTCTCCAGTTACATGGAAGGACATTCCAGGTGCTTATCAGATTCAACATAGCCCTAAATTACAAAGAGAGCATTTGTGTTAGCTTAGCTTTAGCAACATTAGCTTAGCAACTGTAAAAATGTACTTTAACCTGAAATGTTTCTGAGTCAGTCCTGGAGAACTGGAAGGTTTTTACAGGATCTGCTGCAAACATTTTACTTTGTTTTAAAATGAGAGATGCAGGATAAAGTGATTTTGATTAAATATCACAGTTTTAAGTACAGATTTGGTTCATTTTCTCTGATGGAGCTGCAACATCTCACATGATGCATTCAAGGACTGTTGGAAAGTCGAAAATCCGATTGGTTGTTTGTCTGTTTTTACAGTTTATGAGTGATAAATTATGTCATCTTTCCTGTTTCTTAGAGATAATATTCCCTTTAAGTGGCAGATTTTGGGGTTCAGACGGTTACGTTTTAAACTGCTAGTGCTTTGTCTGTTTTTTTTTTTTTTAAACAAAATCTGCTGCAAATATTTTAGGAAAATGATTAAAGGAGACGTGTAGGGAAGCCCAGTTCAGCCAGAACGACCATGAATTAGTTGTCACGTAACTTTCGAAACAGGCATCATATATTTGCCATGTTTGTTGTTGTTGTTTCCAGCAACAAAAAAGAAAATAATTAAAGAAAATCCACAATTTAGACGTTATCTGAGGGACCTAAAACACGACTTAGAGAGACGATAAATGTTTACTTTGCAAAAATATCAGCGTGGAAACGGCCAAAGTTTAGTAGAAACAAGCTTTTTCGCTTATTTTACACCTCTGTAGTCGTGTTACGTGCAAAAACAGGCTTCTTTGTTTTGACATTCGGATAAAAACATGAAGCTACAGCCAGTTAGCTTTATGCTAAGCTAACTAGATCGCCTCATGTTTCCCAGACACACAGGAGGATGTTCTTATTTGACTCTCGGCAGGAATAAATCCACCGACATCGGCTGCTGTTGTCCAGGTTTGGAGGTGAACGTGTCACAGAGGACATAACGAAGGACGGCGGCGGTTAAATTTAATCATTCCCCGCAGGACACGCCTCCTCTGATTGACAATTACGCCCCACAGGAGGACGATTAAAGCTGCACGCACACCTCTGCTGTAATTAAACGGGTGATTTTACGCGGCGAGGCGAGCGGAGGGAGGCGGTCGTGTTGCTTCACGCCGCCGCTGGTTGCTATCAGGATCTTTACGGTCGCCGCGGGGACGCCGATGACGCCGTCGCCCCCCGATCGATAGGAGGCGCCGCCCGAGCCTGATTTCATTGGTCGACGGGGATCGGTATTGTGGCACCGAGGCGATTGATCAGGAGCCTGATGAAAGCTGTGGTATTGACGGGTTTAAGAACCAATACGGGTTCAATAAAGAGGGACGGGGATGTTCTACACGGACGAAGACAAACTGGATCAGACACTGGAGGAAAATAATAAATCCTGTCATTAATAATTTTGTTTGCAGCTGATTTAAAATTATTATTTGTAAAAAGAAAACTCAAAAACCAACAGATTTTTGATGCAGACTTTACAGTTTTGACCTTATTGTTTTGTTAACGTGTCACTTTTTCTGTGATTTTATTATTTTTTTAATCTGTAATTTGATTTGATCTGTAAAAGAACAACAGCAATGAGGACGTCCAGAACATTTACGGTGCTTTTCTCCAGCGTGTCGGTCCGCTCACACCACGGCGACGCTCACACGGACACGAAAAGGCCAAGAACGAGGAGGCCGGTTGGTCTTTGCCAGCTCACGATGCCCTCAGACTTCAGCCCTCGTCACTGTCAGGCGGCCTGATGGGAGGCGACAGAGGAGGGGGAGCAGCCAGGACGCTCGCCCCGCCACACTCACCTCCCCCTGGGCACGGAACTCAGATGGCCCGGCCCCCGTCGCCCAGGACCCGGTTCTGGCAGCGGCGGGGGCCGAGCGTCCTGCCACTCATCCGGAGCCGATGTGACACGGCCGCTACGCTGCCAGGGAGGCCGGGCTTCTCCATAAACACCCACTTTGTCTGCACGTCGGCTGTCGCTTCCCGTCAGCTGAGCTCCGGCCGTCTGTTTTTACCTCCTCGACCTGCTCGTCCCGTCGTTCCCCCGAATCGTCTCGTCTGTCATCTGCTCTCAGGCCATTTTCCAGATCTTTGCGTCGCCGTTTCCCTTTTTATCCGAGCTTCCCTTTTCCGTCTTTCTGTCCGTTTCTATTAAATTGAAAAGGTGATGTCAGCCAGAGTCTCTGGTCCGCTGCAGGAGGACGATGGTTCCAGGTAGAAGCTACGACACGCCGATTCCAGTTTGAATCACCTTTTGATAAACTGCCTTGTTTTTAGGTTGAACAGTGAATTATTTTGATAAAAACAAACACTTCTGAAAGACGATATTGAACATTTCAGACTCAAAGCAACGAGTTCAGACACAAGAACAACGTGAACACCAGAAATGTCCCAACATTTGTCCCAAACGCCTCAAAATGTGTCAAAAATGACTCAAAACCTGCACAAGACGAGTTTAAAATATCAAAAATGACGATAAAATTATCTAAAACAACTCAAAAATGTGTCCTATTTAAATATCAGAACCTCAGAAACTCTCCTTTCTGGAGGGGGGTCTGTATTTTAACACTTTACTGTTCAAGTTAGAAGTAATCTGATTACTGTCGGGTGATGCAGTTTAGAATCATCTGACATTTGTTTCTTGGAGCGTTTTTCTATTTTCCAAAGACCTGAAAACTCCATTAAAGGTGAATATTAAGACTTTAAATAAGTCCTGAACTGTCGACAAGCTAAGAACTGACTTAAACTGAACCTAAAACAGTTGAAAATTAAGTTAAAAACCGTCCAGATTGATTTGAAATTCGTCGAACGTTACTCAGCGCTGGTCCAACATGACCTCAGAACAAGGAGCTGACATGATAATGTCTCCAAAATGACTCAAAACTGTCAAAAATTATTAAAATTGTGACTTAAATGACTTAAAACCTGTACAAAACAAGAAAAAAATGTCCTTAAATGAACGAAAATCATTCTGAAGTTCCCTAAAACTCATCCAAACATTTCCAGATATGACCTTTTGTGGGAGTCTGTATATGTTTTAACATCAGAACTCTAAACTGATTTTAGTTTGACTTCAGAGCAAATACTTTACTGCTCAAGTTAGAAGTAATCTGATTACTGTCAGGTGATGCAGTTTAGAATCATTTGAAATTTGTTTCTTCAAGCGTTTCAGGTAAAATCTCGATTAAAAAGGCAATTGTTAGAACTTAAAATTAGTCCATCGCAGGTGAAGAACGGTTCAGAATGAATCCCGTGTGGAGAAAAGACTGAACAACAAACCTTTTCTTGAGCATTTTTCTGCCACTTGCATCATTTCAGCGCATGTTTTCCTACAAGAACCATTAAATTACAGCATTTATCAGCCAGGAAACGGGAAGTTCAATCGTCCAGCGGTCCTTGAATGCAGCACATGTGACGAGTCCATAAAAGAAGCGTCCGCTATCTGAGCGGCTACTTCTCAGGTTTTATTTTATTTTTTTGCTGCCGCCACACGTCCGACGCATCTCGTCTCGTCTCGTCGGATTTTTTGTGACATTTCCTGGACTTTGAGTCAAATGCGGCTGACGTGTGGACGGCAGCGCGGCCCGCCGTCGCCCTGCGCCTCCCCTCAGGTGGGGATCTGCTGCCTCTCGCCCAGAAAAGCCTCCGCCGGCCAAAGGGCCACAAATACACCCATCAGTGGCCTCGGTCCGTCTGGAGACAGCGGCCGCCGGAGGACCACGATGATGGGAGGAGGACGGGGGAGGAGGGGGAGCCGACTGAACAATGGAAACGCTGATGAGGGACGCCGAGGCTCCTAAACGAACGCTTCACGTCCAGTTGGCAGGCGGAGACGAGCGCAGACACACCTGCAGTGTTTGTGGTGTAAGCAGCGGCGGACCAGACGTCAACAGAAACACAGGTGTTTCCCAGGTGATGTTTGGGGTTTGGAGATAAAGCGGCACGGCAACAGAAACAGAAGCGCAGACGGAGGAGAAAGCGGCAGATAAGGCCTGTAATCTCACCGCCGGCGCTGACGCCAGCAGCCAGTCGGTCCGCGACCTGTTTGAACCCTCAACACTCAGCGTTTGTTCCTCATGAGGCTCAGAAATCGTCCTGGTGTCGTTATGTTTAGTGTGAACGCCGTCAGCTTCATCAGGTCTAAACTGTAGCTACACAAATTAATGATCAACAAAACAAACCTGGTTTAATTATGAGTGAATACGTCACAGTGTGTCTAATACGACTGGTTTGGTTCGTTTTATAATAAAACAATAATAATACTGACAGTATTACTATGCTTTGTTTTTGTTTTGTTTTTTAAAATCTCAGTATTTATATTTATTAGATATTTTATTTTTATTATCTACATATTCTGTATTTTATGTAAATTTTTAATTATTTGAATTATATCACGAATCAGGTTAGGTTTTTTTTCTATTTAATAAATTTACCAATACATGTAATAATAATAATAATAATAATAATAATAATAATAATAATTGAAAACTAAAATTAACTTAAATGTATCAAATTATATCTACATGTATAAATATTATTATGATACACTATATTTAATAACTAATAATAAACGTAATGATAATAATATTTAACTTAAATTAAGTGTATCAAATTATATCTACATGTATAGAGCTTTATATGATACATTATATTTAATAATTCTAATAATACATTTAATAATATTAATAACAATAATTTAATTTATTTTCAGGAAATTTGATTTATATATTTATATAATTTTTTGGTAAAATTCTTCTTTTTTTTTTTTTTTTTTTTAAGGTTATAGTATTTTTTGGCAGTTTTACTAAATGCAGCTCTTCCAGACGGTTTTTGTATATTTGGATGAACTGTCGACAGATTTTTCCACAAACGACTTGACGTCCAAAGTCCGACATTATTTAGGAACATTTACAGTGTTGTTTAACAGTTTTTCTCATATTTGGGGATTAAAATAATATAATATTCTACTGTACTAATAATATTAATGATAAAAAAGGTTCCTTCACAGCGACCACGGTGAGGCTTCGTTTTAAACACAGAGTCGGATCTCGGCTGTAATTCAGAACAAATCTGTGTGTTTTCAGTGTTTCTCATTGATCTCCAGCCTGGAGAGCTTCTCTCCAGCAGGTCGATCGATAGAAACTTCACAGGCGGCAATTTTTACAAACAGTTTAAGCAGAAAATGCTCCTAAATGAGACGTTTCTCTGCTGTTTATGTGACTGCTAATGGAGCGTGTTTGGTTTGACTGATGGACGAATCAAACGGGTGAATTATGGGACATTAGAAGCACTTTTCACTGTTTTGTACTTATTTTTGTTTTTTAATAAACGGACAAACACAAACCTTTTCTTGAGTATTTCAATTTTTTCTGCCTCTCAGATCATCTCATTGCTAATTCAGCACATGTTTCTGGAAAAGAATCTGCAAGATCACACGATTTATCAGCCACAAACTGCAAAAAGAATCATACTGTGTTCAACTTTCCCACAGCCCCTGAACACGTCACGAGTCCATCAGAAAAAAATGAACAAATCTAAGCTTTAAATTAGGATATTTCATCAAAATCATTTTATTCTACATGCATAATTTATAAATTACACCAGAAATAAACCATTTGAACCAGATCCTGTGAAAAATCATAAAAAATCTTCAGCTTTTTTCCTGATTTATGTCATTTTAACTGCGTCGTACTAAACAGAAGACATTACCGACGTCTGTCTTCGTCTAGCAACGGCTGTGCTGTTTCCGTACAGACTTTATAAAGCGGTTAAAAAATGAGCCGACAGCGAAGATGAATGAGACGGGTCCAACAAACTGCTTGGAGGTCAGAGGTTTACGCCTTAAACTTTTCAAACAGGTGAGTTTTATAAAAATTCACGACAGGTGCTGTTATAGTAAACAGATAAACTAGCTAAAGAGGCTGAAACTGTTTTCGTACGAGGCTGTAAATGTGTTTATTTTTGCTGTAAATGTGCAGATTTTAACATGGACGTCTATGGGGGCTGGCTCGCTTCTGAAGGCAGCCTCTAGTGGGCATTAGAGGAACTGCAGGTTGTGGTTGTTGCTGCTTGATTCAAACCAATACGCACACTTTAATAGTTAAATTATCATTATAATCTTGAGTAAACTGCACCACTTGGAGCCCTTTACACCCAAACGTTGCCCTAAAACCCACAGTGCCTCTGAGTAGAGCCGAGCATCAGAAGCAGCTTCCAGACCTCTGCTGCACGTGATCAAGCGTCGGCGCGGCTGTACGGCAGCATTTTAATCCTGCTAAGCTGTCAGAACACACTTCCCCTCCGCTCTCCAGCCTTTCATCCGAGGAGAGAGGAAAATAAAAAGCCTCCGGACATCCCGTCTGCTGTTCCTGTGTCAGAGGAGAGGCTAAGTGTGCTCCAAGGGCCCGGAGGATTTCCGCGACTCGGGCTGCGCGGGGGAGCTCAGGAAATGAATTAAAACTTCCAGGTGGTCATCTGGTCGATATATTTGGCGAGCGAGGCCTCGACACACGGTTGAAACCACACAAACAGAGGACGACTGACGGATCACAGCCGAGCCAACGCCGCCTCCCTCCTCTGGGCCTCCAGCGAGCGTCTTGGCAGCCACGAGTCAGAACAATCCCCGCTCTGATCTGATTAGAGACTTAATGGAGCTAATGTGTTTGGCGGATCGTGTGAGCAAACAGCTGAGCGGCCCGAGTGAAGCCGGCGGGGATTCGGCCCTGGTCCTACCTGGGATGTGCTTGGCCCAGCCGATGTTGACCACCAGCTCCCGGTCGGCCAGGTCGCACAGCGTGGTCAGCGCCTTGATGTCGCTCTCGGGCACCGTCGGGTCCGGCATGGCGAAGATGCCCTCCGGCTCGGCGACCAGCAGCAGAGAAACCACTTTGTTCTCGACCACGCCGCCTACAGAGACTGACGGAGAGTTTAGCGTTATTACAGCTCGTATAAAAACCAATCACCCAACTGGTTCTCCCTGTGACTGCTTTTCAGTCATGCTTTGACTTTTTATGACAATAATTTAGAAAAAAGACTCTTTCTCCTCAAAGTGAAAATAGATTTCTAAATAATAATGTCAATTAATTAACATTTTACAAGTAAAATAAGTGATTTTGTTTCCTTCAGTCAGTGTTCAGCAGATGAACCTTCAGCTCCGTCTCTGATCCTGTTGGTCTCCATCAGCCTGAACATCTGGACGCTGCAGCTTCTCCTCATTGTTCTGATAAAACTGTTCAGACTCTGTCGGGTTCCACAGGGATCAGGAGTGAACAGAACTTTTCAGGTCCAGAAGTCTGGACTCTGATTGGGCCTCCAGACCTTCACCTTGTTGTCTTTAAACCATTTCTGTGGAGCTTTGGCTGTTTGCTTCGGCTCACTGATGGAAAACAAGTCTTCTCCACGTCTCAGTTCTCCTGCAGACTGCATCAGGTTGTCCTCCAGGATTTCTCTACACTTTGCTGCATTCATTCACCCTCTACCTGTAAAAGCCTTCCAGGCTGCTGCAGAGAAGATCCCCACATCATGATGCTGCCACCACCGTGCTTCACGTCATGATGCTGCCACCACCGTGCTTCATCATGATGCTGCCACCACCGTGCTTCATGATGGGGATAGTGTGCAGTGAACACAGCATCTAGCCTGATGTACAAAAAGCTCCATTTTGGTTTCCTCAGACCAAAGAACCTTCTTCCAGGTGACTTCAGAGTCTCCACAAGTCTTCTGGTGGCCTCACACACTCGTCTCCTTCTTGCTCAGACACTCAGTCTTTGAAGACGTCCTGCTCTAGTCAGATCTGTGACTTTTGTCTACACATTAATTATCTACCATTACTTTGCAGAAACCTGTTTTCACTTTGACATGAAATCATGTTTTATTGTAAGTTCTCGTCCAAAACTCCAAATTAAATTGACAATATTTCAATGTTGAAAAGCAAATTAAATAAAAAAACAGGGTTAAATACGCTTTACAGGCAAAACCAATGAAAAACGGTAAAGAATTTTAAATCAACTCTTAGAACTTTGGTGACGGCTATAATTCCCTCTATGCTTGAAAACTCTGGTTGAGATCAGATTAGAAAACGTTCCTCCTTCCACAGTCAGATAAAACATCACCGACTCAGTGAGATTATGTGAAAAATGTTCTGAAATATGTAACAAACTCTTGTCAGTAATTAATTCTGACTCAATAGCAAACACGGCTGTAATAATGATCAAATGTTATCATGACAGACGACATCCCAGAGCTGTCAGAGAGCGCCACAGATGAAACCAGAGTTCAGAGGAACGCTAAATGACGGCTAAACGGTTGATAAAGACTCTGGTTTGTACTCACATTTCTTCTGCGGCAGCGTGTTCTGAGGATGCAGATACGGGCTGTTCTCAGCATCTATTCTCCTCTTGTACTTCTGTCGGCCGCCTCGAACTCGGTCCAGACGAACTCCTGCACAGACATAAGCGCAGGATGTTAATGATCAACAGCCTCCTGTGTTCATGTTTTCGCCTGCACTGGAAAACTCAGTAATGAAATAAATGATTCTTATCGGACTCGATGATTGAAGAGGAAGTAAAGCTGTTGCAGTGAAAGGTTAAATAGTCATCTGGAGCATGAAGTTATCAGATTATGTGGGTATTGATTGCAACATGTCGTATGTGTGAGCTGAGCAGCACTGAGGTTGTGCAACATGTTGTAATGTGTGGTTTAAAATGTGCAGTTTTAGGTTGTGCAATATGTTGTTTGACTACAATGTGTTTGTCGTATCACATCGTATCATGTTTCATATTGTACTGCATCATATATTTGATCATATTGTGTCGTTCCATGCTGTCCAGTGTTTATTTTGACTTGTGCTGTATCATGTTTTATCACATTGTTTGTATCATTTTGTATCCTGCTGTATTGTTTTGTATTCTTTTTTATCATTTTGTATCGTACTTTTTAATATCGTATCATAATGTATCGTTTTGTATCGTACTGCTTTATATCATATCGTAGTGCATCACTTTGTATCATTTTGTATTGTATCGTACTGCTTTATATCGTATAGTATTGTTTTATATCGTATCATATTGTATTGTTTTGTATTCTATTGTATCATGTTGTATCATTTTGTATCGTTTCAGTCTGTTCTATATTGTATCCTGTCGTATCGTTTTGTATCGTTTTGTATCGTGCTGCTTTATATCGTATCATAATGTATCATTTTGTATTGTATCACATTGTATTGTATTGTTTTATATTGTTTTGTATTCTATTGTATCATGTTGTATCATTTTGTATCGTATCGTTTCAGTCTGTTTTATATTATATCATGTCGTATTGTTTTGTATCGTATTTTATTAATTTGCATCATATCGTAGCATACTGCATGTTTTGCACCATATAGTATTTTTTCACATCGTATTATCTAACGTACTGCGTCACATCATGTTGTATTTCATCATATCATGAATCTGTTTTTTCTCCTCTGACACCGACTAACTGATCGCCGGCTTATCGACAGCCTGAAGGAGATCCGACGGGACGGACGGCTTCCTGTAACGCGACACCCGGAGACGACCGCTCATCTGAACCGTCCGGCCGTCTCCATGGCGATGGGGATTAAAGGTGGCGGTCAGCTGAGGAGACGGCGAAACCGGCCGAGTGTTAATGTGTGTGAACACAAGAGGCGCGAATCCAGCGAGTGTGAACGTGACTCAGGAAGCTGCGGTAGTTTGTTACCTGATCCTCGCTGTGCGAACACACGTCGAGGCCCTGAATAGATCCGCGAAGGCATCTGGAGGAGACGCCGCCGCCGCCGCCGTTCACCCACCTGACACCTCGCAGATACACATGCAGGACGGGCGTCCAGCAGCAGCAGCGTCGTATAAAACGTGCTGTGAGGGTTTATCAGTTCCAGGCCGTTGCTTTATTAAGCTGTTTGATCTGATTTTATAGGCACACTATCACTATAACTCTCTGTTATTTTATAGAATCTCTGCTTTATTACTGAACGGTACATAAACAGAGATGAAGGTGAGATGGAAGAGGAGATCGACGACGCGTGGAGGAGCTTGCCGTAAACCAACAGGAAGTTATTCAATATCAAACTGTAGACGTGTGTTTACATCTGAAATCAGAATCAGAATCAGAATCAGAATCAGAATCAGTTTTATTGCCAAGTAATTTTTACATCACCAGGAATTTGACTTGGTCCATTGGTGCAAAGAAGCAGAAAAATCAAGCCAACTTCATATTCTACTATTTATTTTATATATATAGGATTTTATAAATGCAGCCCCAAGTGCTAAATTATAAAAACAGCAAACGTTTATTAACAGATATACACTAAAAAAAAATAATTTTAACTGTGATTTATTTTCTAAATGAGCAAATTTGAGCGAACAATGTTATTATTTTACAGATATTTGCCATTATTAAAGGAAAATATATGAACATTAAGAACAGATTATTTTAAAAATGTTGTTTTACACAGTTTCATTTAAAAAAAAAATTAAATTATAGATAATAACTAAGCATTAATTTACATATAAACCCTAAAACAACAGGCCAGAACTGTAAATAACGTCCACTTAAAAAAATCTTTTACTGTATTTAATCAATAAAAAATGTAGAATTTTGCATAATAAGGATTGAAAAACATTACATATTTTTCAAAACTATTAATTTATAGTCACCCCACTTTGTTAGATGACAGATCAAATCTAGCTAAATTACAAATAAAGTTTTAATTTACATGTTGACTTTAAAAAAGGGTAAATAATGGATTAAAAAAAATTACAAACATTAATTAGTTTGTATTCACTGAATGACCGTACATTTTTATTTTTACTGTATTTAAATCAGCAAAAAATAATATTTCACGTTTTGCATTTTTCAAAACAGAAGTGTTGAAATTTGTTTTTTAACAAAACATCATACTGTTTAACTCTCTTTAAATCTGCTAAAATTGAATTATTTTACAGATATATTATAATACCGTGTCTGTTTTGAAGTTTTCTTTTCTCGCTACCAAATTTTTACATTTTTTTAACATTAAAACATATTTTCTTACAGTGTTGTAGAAAATAACAACGAATAATAATAATAAAAATAATGATGATAATAATAATAATAATAATAATAATAATAATAATAATAATAATAAAAGGAATAAGAAATTGATCTCTGGCCAGATCATTTGAGCGACTGAGATCCGGTAAAAAGTTTCTGACAGTCAGACAGAAAATCGATCAGCGCTCGTCTCCTTTAAGGTCTGATTACAGGTTTATATTTGAGCTTGTTTATTCTGAGCATCTCTCAAATCTGCTTTAAATTAACCATCAGTTGTCTCGTTTTAATTATTCCTGACAAATATTAAACCTGTTGGCTGAATTATTGCACGATAAATGTGAAAAATGATCATTATATAGCCTTTATTCATATCTTTGGGCATCACAGAAGCTAGTTTTAGGTTGAAGATGTTGGTTTCAGGTTTAATAGCTGCAGGAGGTTAAAGGAGGAGTCAGTGTAAACCAGACCCCGCTGATACCACCGGGGGCAAATAGTAAGTGTGGATTAACCTGCAGAGGATGTTTTTGCTTTACGGCAACGTCGGATTTAACGCATGATGTTTGCAAACATCAGATTAACGCCTTCGTTGGGAGGAAAGGTGCGTCTCGTTCAGGTGTGTCAAACACAATCCGAGTGCAGCTTCTCACCGACAGGCCGAGAATAGCAGCCATCAGGGTTCGATGAACTCATTTATCTCCGGCCTCTCTCATCGCCGGGCTTTACGGGGGTCCCTGAACGCACCGTGAGGCCTGCAGACCATGTGTTCTCTGTCAACGATCCCACGCCGCTCAGATATTGTGACAAACGCACACAGCGACGCGATCCTGCAAACAGCCGACGGGATTTGGAAAGTTGGCAGCAGGAAGCTCGCGGTGTCCGTCTGTCCTGTTCCCGGGCTTTTCTCAGAACGCGGATTAAGACGGCGTGATTAACACACCTGAGGCTGCAACCCGAGGACGCCGCCATCGCACAGCGAGACCAGAGCGGACATCCGTTAACCCTCCCAAACCCGAGACCTGCTCGAGAGGCATCTTCACACAGATTCACCAAAATGATCCCATTTATCAGCCGGAACAGAAAAGAATCAACAGATTAACCCCAAAACCAGTTTGAAAAGCAGCTGTTCTTTCTTTCTTTTTTAAATCACCAAAATGACTCCAATGATTTGTAAACTGAAGCTGTAAAAAACAAAGAGAATAATCTGATTTGTCAACTTTCCAACAGTTTTTAAACGATTCATTTGAGACTTGAGGTTAAAAGTCATTAAAAATAATCAAATCTCAGCTTAAAATTGAGATATTTCACCAAAGTCCCTTCATCCTACGTGCCTGATTTAAAACAAAAAATCCAAAATAAAGAGTTTGCAGCAGATTTCTTTAGAAATTCTCTCAGCATAACCCTTAGCCGAGTCAATATTGTGACTTGCTGTCATAAATATGACTGTTTTTCCTCATAATTCTGTTTTTTTTTCTTATAGTTTTGACTTATAAATTCATTAGTTTGACTTTTTATTTCAGAATTTTAACTATTTATAGATACGAACTCAGATTAAGACAGCGTTTAACTCGTCTGACCCTCTGAAGCGTCTTATCTTTGAATAAAATCAACAAAATGACACATTTATTGTCCAGAAACAGAAAAAAAAATCTGCAATTTTTCAACTTTCCAACAGTTCTTGAGTGAATCATTTAGGATGTGCAGTTCAGTCAATAAAAATTGCATAATCTCAATTTAAAAACTGTAATATCTCTTTAAAAATCTCTTTTTTGTTTCTTTAATCTGCATAAACTTCATCAACCCAACTAAAAATTGAGACAAAATTTAGATTTTCTACCATAAAACCGACCATCTGTCATATAATTCAATTCCTTTCTGATATTTTTGATTTACTATTTTATAAGTTTGACTTTTATCTCAGAACTTTAACCATTTTTTTTTCATGTCTGTGACTCTCTTTCTTTGATCTGAAGCTCAACCCTCTAAACTCTGAGCAGAGTCGGGCTGCTTTTGGCTTTTGCGATATATAATTTCTACATAATATTCCACAAAGCAGACAAACATGAAAATAAATTAAAAACGCTGAAAGAATTGATGGATTTTCCTACAATCTGTGGTTCCAATCAGGAAAACGAAGCAAATCTCATTTTAAAATTGTGATATTTTCCTCTAAACTGTTCTTTTTTTCCTACATGTCTTATTATTTTTAAAAAATCCGCCAAAAATAAAGCCTTTAAATTAATCGGAATCGGTCAAAAACAAAAAAATCTGCGTTCCTCTGCGCAACCGTGAAGCTATGAGCAACCAAACTGTAACCAACGGTCACATGACAAAAAATTCTACAATGTTTTTTTGTGTGGCTGAGCTGCATTAGTGTCGCCACGGAGCAGAGGAGACGAGAATGAAAAAATAAAAATGTAAATAGAGAAATATCCAGAATATGTGGAGCCTCGATTGTCTTTTTCAGCGTCGGGAAAATCTGCGGACACTTTGGAAAATGTTGAACATCCTATTCCAGTTTTTTTTAAATGTATATTTTGGTAGAATAGATGATTAACGAAGCTCAAGTTTCTCGTCTGTGAGTCCTCTCTCCTCCTTGGTCTGGTTCCACAGAGCTGCAGGACTTTATGTTGCAGACGAACACGAGCCACAGTTCAGAAAAAAATGTGAGTTCAGAAGGTTAATAAGAGTTTCGCCGCATCACTGCTCATATTCCTTAAAAGCATCAACCTCCAGAATCGCAACGTTTCGGCGTGTTTTTAAAAAAAAATATCGTCCACGTTTTGCCGCCGTCCGGGGTTTTACTGCCCTGAGAGGCGACAGCGGCGGTGGAAACGGCCACTAAACAGCCTTAATGAAAGCCTGCCGGGGGTCTATCTGCCTTTTATTTAACTCGGCCCGTTAAAGCTGCAGCTCGTCGCTCTCGGGCTTTACTGCGACGTTACGAGACACGATGAAGCGCGTTACGAGGGCGCTTACGACGCGAGTTACGAGGGGCAGTTCGCATTTCACGGAGGTCCAGGAATCCCACGAGGCATCTGCAGGAATTTACGAGGCAGCAGGGAAAGCGGGGAGGAGGTGGGGGTCGGGATGCTGCCGATGCCTTCGACGCTATTAAAAGGAGCTAATTTAGAAAAAGGACGGACTCACGACGACACACAGAGGAGCCGACGGACACGTTCAAACACACAAACACGTGTAGAGATGAGTCGGTGGCACAGAGCTGCAGGTAGCGGAGCAGATGCTGCCGTTGGTTCACAGCTGACTGGGTGGCATTAAAGGATCATTTCACTTTATTACAGCTGGATCATGTTTTCACAGCATCACCTCGACTGGACCTGATAACATGTTACTGAGAGGAGAGCTGCTAAAACCTCCACAAACATGCCCGACAGCAGGCAGCCGCCACAGAGTCCCCGCCTGTAAACAAGTCAGCAGCTAACGTGGACTCATGTCGGATCCTTCAGACCAATACGAAGGTTACAGAAGAACTCTGTAAACCTGCTGCTACACTGAGTCAGAGAGCCGCTGGAACAGTGAAGGGTTCTGAATAAACGGACTGTGTTCTACTCTGAATAACTCTGTGATGCGCTAAACTGTTGTTCTGCTGGTTGGACGTCTCCTCCACACTCCCTCCCCTCAGTCCTCCACCACCACAGCTTTATCTGCTCTCTGCTCTTTATCAACCAGCGTCAACAGTCGGAGCTCTCCGATGGTTTCCTGTTTGAGTCACTTCTAAATCTGGAAACAATACGTCACCACCGAGCCACAC